TTTGGGTACTTTCGGAGGAAAAACGTGCTTTGATCCAGTCTCCTGTGGCCATGAGTTGCAACATTCAACGGATCCTAAGCTGCTCTGCTTCCATGTTTCAGCTGTTCCCACAAAGGTGCAGCTGTCAGTTCCCGCTGAGGTCAGTGGACTTAGGCTTTATGCCAGTGAGTCTGGATCAGGCAGACAATGCTGACGATTGAAGAGGTTCTGCAAAGCAGACCCTGAACACTTATTCTTGAAATTCACAAAAGCACAACACAGAATAACTACGCAGATGTACAAGGCACTCGTAAACAGAATCGACACTGATGCATTTAGGCATACAGCCTTCGACTTTGTGCTGCTGATGGAGTCAGTGGCGAAATACCTTTAACAGTCCTGTTGGCCCCGGAGGCCTGTAGGTCCCCGGCCGACCATGCGTGACCGACCTGGCTGGGCTTTTTCTGCGTTTTCGGCAGCCGGTCCTGGCCGAAGTCGTCCAGTTGCCCTTCCACGACCAACGGAGGGAAGTTGCTCTCGCGACGGACGACGCGTGAGCCGTGTGCATGTCGACGAGAGCACTTTGGTTCTTTGGATCCGGGACGGAGCTTGGCTCTTGGCGCTTGGCGCTTGGCAAGCTTGGTGCTGGAAGTCTGACGTGAAGGACACCTAGGTTGGAGGCCATCGCAAGTAGGTTGGAGGCCATTCCTGCTAGATGTCTTTTTCTAATAGGGTGAAGGCCATCGCATTCCAGTCATTGATCAATGGAAGTCCATTGGATCCACCTCTGAATTCGCGGATATGGCGGTCTGCTCTACCGAATGTTCCCCACGCGGTGTGGTCAAACGCCCGCCCCTTCTTTTTTGTGGATTTGCAGCAAAGACCGTCCAAAAAAGGGACACATCGGAAGCGAAACGGGATGAAGCGGGCTTTCCATGTTTGCACCTGGTATGAAGCGGGACAGATCCCGCAAAGCATCATGATATCGCATGTGACACTGGGCTCTGAGGCATGGGCTTCAACGACCAGGAGGGGCGATGCCGACCAAGACAACAATTCTGTGGACACATACCACAAGTTCCTCCAACAATAAAGAAGCAAAACGCATTCAATAGTTGGATCTCTTTTGTTTGTTCACTTGTCAGCTCTGATGTTTGGGAAGGTGGTCTCAAACCTGGTCTCCTGTATAGCGAGTTGCGAGGTAGGCAATAAGTGAGTTGAGTGCCGCCACTCATTTGATCCTTTCGATCCCAGTGAGAATCAGCAGTTTCTGTTGTGGATTCACGTTTCTAAGCTGAACTCACGGACAATACAGATCTCTACTCACTCCTTGCGAACCACACACGAATGCTATCTTTTTCGCTTCCTTTTTCCTTCTTTTGTTTTCTTTCGAGCATTTTCATCCTCTTTTTCGAAAAGACCTTTCTGATTCGGGAAGAATGGAGCTTTGTACCGACAATCACATCCCGAAAACAATCTAATTAATAGCTTCTTGTTACTACTAGTAAGGCACCTGTTACTACTAGCGTGGCACTTGTTTCTACTAGCTTAGCAACTTTTGTTTCTTTCTTTTTCCGAAGCAGCACATCGGTTTGGCGCTTTCGCGTTTCAAATCAGAGGAGATCGTGGCCTTGAGCGGCGCCCACGGGCTGGGAGCCTGTCACACGGATCGCAGTGGCTTCTGGGGACCCTGGACACGTGCGCCCACCACGGTGAGTGCCCTGGCAGTCCGAGCTTTGAGGTGCATTTTTGACAGAGGAGAAGGGAGAGCGTTGTTTCTCGTAGTAGCGATGCCAGGAGCCCCTAGTAGCGTCCTTGCTCCTAGTAGTAAGGCCAGGAGCCCCTAGTAGCTTCTAAGGGAGAAGGGAGGGAAGTGGAGGGAATAGACCAATTGAAGGAATATATAATGATAGAGATGGATACAGATGCAAGGATGAAGGCATGACGCAGAGGCTAGGAAATGGCCTTGCCATTTTCGCCTGAACTCCCAAACGCACTATGGTAGGGAATGAAAGGATTCAGAGATCAAGTTGTCAAAACATGTGGTGTTTGTGTTAGCATCCTTTCCGACTCGTGCATCGATTGTGCATCCTTTGTTCGATCCGTCTTCGACGCCTTGGTTCGATCGATCCGTCGAAGAGAAGCTGAGGCAATGAGTACTATCGTGAGCTGCTGGAGAACACTTGGCACCTCCCTGAAAGAGTTCCAATTGGAAAACGATTAAACAACGATGAGCAATGTGATTCAATGATTCAAGTTGGTTCTACTTCTGCTAGACAAGCTATTCCAATGATTGGCCTTTGGACATTTTTTGAAGGTTCAGAATGCAGGAGCATCGAAGCAAGTCCAGCTTCTTCGCCGCCGAGGACCATCAAGACCACCCACAAGGGCAAGCCATGGAAGGGCCCATTGCAGTTTGAGGATCCAACAGGCGCGTGTTGTGTGGATCAACTCCGTGGCTTCTTTCACCCAGACTCCCGCACCTGTCACTGGTGTCCCAACTGCTGTTTTTGTGTCACAGTGCACTATCAAGCCGCTATCTTGCTGGCTGTTTGTATTAGGGTCTCCCAAATTCTTGACTGTGCATCGAAGAACTGGTTTTGGAAAGATATCGTCGCAAACGACTTTCAAGATCTTGGCCAACACGGGCTGCTGCGGCAACCAGCTTTGTCCAAGAGCTCTCAACTTCCAAGCGCTATTGTAATTTTCCAATGGTGACTTCTTGTTCATCTCGACGTCTATATAAGTTTCTTGAGCTTTAGTCAACATCCACATACACTGTCAAAACTCAGTTAATCAAAGTTGAAACGATATTTTTAAACAAACAAACAATATATAAGTGAGCCACTGGCAAAGCACTCCGCTCAGGCGATTTGATGATGCTGCCTTCAGACTTGGTGCTCATCCAGGATTGGACGTTTTTGATAAAAGGTACCTGATTGCACGATTGCACTCAGAGAGTTCATTCAGACCTCCTACTTTTCGAAAAAGCCTCGGCAGCCTCTCCAACGGATTCCGACATGGATTCCACCTACGTCTTGAGACCAGGATCGCAGCTTCCGAAAGTATGTGGAGATGTATGCGAAGGAGTGGTTTTTCAGTGGACAGGTGGAAACTCACCAACGATGACGCAGAAAAGAAGTAAGAGGTTTAGAACAAGGACGGTGCCCTTACTTACCTTCCTCTTAGGAAATCTATCTTTCTTTATACCACCTGCTTTTCTATAGCATATTTCGGTCTTGAATCGCCAAGTTGCGCCTGTGAAACTGCAAGACTCTGAGGGCAATACTCTGTGATCAGCCCGGTCGGCAGTTTGAGAACCCATGCCCTGGATGAGCGATGAGAGAAACGTGGCAGGATGATGCTCGCTTTCAGAAGGACTTCGCCCAGGTAGTGGGGAAGCTCTTTGGGCCTCAAGCCTAGTTCAAGTGAAGGGGAAAAGAAAAATAAAAATAAAAATAAATATAACATAATATAAATATATATATAGCAATTTCAATTTCACTTCGCGTAGCGTGCCGACAGTCGGTATTTGAGTTGTGTTTCTTCTTCAAAGAGCTTTTCTCTAAAGAAAAGTATTTTTCGTCTGAAAGAGAGTCGTTGGACTGGTGGACCAAGTCGCTGAGGTTGGGGTGTGCAGAGTCGAAGCGCTTCGGCTTTTTCTGAGCGCAGGGTTTGTGTCGGAAGGTCTTACCACTTGAAGCAACTCACATGCAGTAGACAAAGGGACACGTAGAATAGATCAGGATAGCCGCAAAACGGTAATTGATTTCTGCTTTAGACCAGGACCTAGTACTAGTTGTACAACCTACACAGGGAGATTCCGTTGTTTAGAAGGTGCCTTATTTTCATGACTCCCTCAGGTTTGTAGGAAACGACCTTTTGAAGTCGCTTCGAAAGAGTGCGGCAGATTTCCAGACTGCCTCAATCTTTAATCCCTTCCGCGTCTTTAAGCGGGACCTCTTGCACCACACGGACACGGATGCATGGTGCACAGATTTTTGAGCCAGCTAAATATGCTAGAATGCTTGGCGTCACAGTCACAGAATTGTCACGCCTCGAAACACTTCACGCCGCGATGAAAAGCAGTCTGTTCGGAGGTGTGGGATCCGTGCTTTGTGTAGCTCGATTCACAATGTAGGCAGGGGGAAATCCTATCAGACAAACTGATGATTTTTTTGGAATCCTCATTCACTGTGAGGTTCTCTCCTGTTCAGTCAGGGTTCTTTTGGTTGAGCATGATGCTTTTCAGGATGTACCCCGCACGCAAAGGTTAACGGTTAACGTTATCAGTACCAGCCTCGGCCGATGTATATACAGAGGAAAGAAATGCGCCAGGCGCCAAAGAAGCGCTGGGAGCCCAGGATTAGCTGACGTTCGCCTGGCGAAACCTTCAGAAGTGGGCGTTTTCCGTGTCGATCAAGCGCAAACACCCGAGCTCATCTTCACGACACTAGACCTGTCATGACCTTTTCTCGAATTCCTGTTTCTCTCTTCATTTCTTATCGTAAGGAACTTGGGTTCTTCGTTTCCTTCTTTTTTGTCTCCTTTCGAAGGTCGGAAATCCTCCAAAGAAGCCGACGCCTCGGTCGAAAAGGAGCACCGTGCACCCATGCGACCCAAGCAGAGCAAAGGCAGTCTAGTCGACTTGAAGTAGGGTTTCTGGACAAATTGGGTAGTTTAAGTTTTAAGTAAGGATGCGGCAGAGGGGACAGTACTGGCTTGGGGAGAACCTCTCAGTTGTCGAGGGAAATCCAACCTAAAATCCACGCCCGAGGACAGTGCTCGGGTTTGCAAGAAACTCTTGTGGGAGTGCTGGATGGCACAGTGGCATGTCTCCACGGTCTGCCTTGATATCCCGGATCTAGCCCATCTCTTCTTAAACAGAGTCCCAGGGTCAAAAGAAGGCTTGCCAGTAAATGCATCAAGCGATTCCATATTGCTTCCACTACCTGAGTTTCTCAGGATTGAACTCAGAAATTGCACATTGAGATCACACCCTTGTGTATGAGTCTAAAGCCATGGCGTTGTTCTCATCCAAAAAGCCTCAACCGCCTTCGCCCAAATGGGCAGCTGCAGAAGTAAAGACTGACTTTCCAGAATCAGCCAAGAAGGCGTGGAAGGAAGGTTTGTCTAAGCCGAAAGAGAAATTCTTGGAGCGCAAGGAGGAATTGACAGAATGGTTGGGAGGGGAGAAGAAATTTGATGAAATCGTTAAGAAAATTGAAGATCGAGAAGAATGCCATTGGCTAGAACGCTTTTACGTGAGCAAGGACGAGGATAAGCCTAACGCTTGCACTCGTGTTTGTTTCAAGGAGCAGGGAGATGCCATCCCTGCTGGAAGGGACAAAGAGTTTCAGGCACCAAATTCCAAAGTACACTTTCTTTTTTGCACTGCAATCTACTAGCGATGCCCTCCAACCTAATCCATTGTAACCAGAAAAGTTTGGATTTGCTATGTTTTGCTCGTTCTTGAATATGATAGTAACCCTCAAACACAGCAAAACAAGTTGGCCACACATGGGTGATTTGAATGTTGCAGTTTCTCTTTGGACCACATGACCTGACATGCGTGACGAACTGAAGCGCGACGCTTTCGCGCTTCAGGACTACCTGGCGTTTTTACTCAAGGTGCAAGACAAGGTGAAGAATATCCAAAACGCGCAGCAGGGTCAGCAATTCGTCAAGCAGTGGGAAGCTTCAGTGCTAAAACTCCCAAATGCCCAGCTCCAGGGTGCCAACCTCGTTGGTGCACAGCTTCAGGGAGCCATCCTTGATGGAGCGCAGCTCCAGGGTGCCATCCTCGCTGGTGCGCAGCTCCAGGGTGCCATCCTCGTTGGTGCACAGCTTCAGGGAGCCGATCTTACCGGAGCGCAGCTCCAGGGTGCAACCCTTGCCAAAGCGCAGCTTCAGGGAGCCGAGCTTGGTGCACAACTTCAGGGAGCGGACTTTTCTCAAGCGCAGCTTCAGGGAGCTGACCTCTATGGAGCACAGCTCCAAGGAGCCAACCTTAGTACCGCAAATCTCACCAACACAGCATTCTATGGAGACTTCACTGGCGCCAATCTGTCGACTGCTGTTTGGGAGCGTGGCGAAGCTCCACACTGCACTGATGTCACGTGTGAGGCTTTGAATATCCCAAGATTTTCAAAAAAACCGGCCACAAGGAGCGGTGCCATGGGAGCATTACTTGCAAAGCTCTTCAGAGCATTTCTTCCAGGTGGAGCTGAGGCTGAAGACTCTGATGAAGATGGAGATGACGATGAGACAAAGACAGATGAAGGTGAGTCGAAGGAAGGTGAAGACGGTGAAGATGAAGGTGGAGATGACCAGAAAGATGAGGAGAATCCGGGACTCTTTCTATCCGGGACTCTTTCTTGGGCTCCAACATGTAGTCCTTTATAGCAAGAGAAACCGGATCAACTTGGAATGTATTGGAAACAAGTTTTTGCTGGACGGGAGCAGTTCTACCAGTGCCCCCACAGAAGCAAGTGACTTTGTAGAATCTCGTGGTTGGAGAAACATTTAAAGGTACAGAAGTTCTCCCAACCAGCTCCGGTCCTTCTTTCATGCTTCATGGGTGGCGCACGCAAACCCGGAAATGCAGACTGAAATAGGCACATGCTTCCGCTTTCTGAAGATATCATCGAAAACCTCTCCTTCTCATCGAGAGTGGATAGCACCACAGGCTCAGGGCCGTGCTGCCTTCCCTCCACTTCCTCCTTGTCTCAAGTTGCTTTAACCGTCAAATTTTGGTGTTCACCAGTCAAATTTCAGAACGAATTCCCAGCAGACAAACTTTTGGAGTGCATTGCACTGCACACAATCGTCAAAGGTTTCCCTATGACACCTGTTCTGTGTCCTACTTTGTCTAAAGCTTTATCTTTGGCGGATTCCTTTTCGCAACCGTTTGGTGTCCTCCCAGTGTTTGTATATCTCCCGCTGTTGGAGTGCATGACACCTATTATCCTAATATGCCTGGAAGGCCGCATGGTCCTGTTGGCTTTGTTGCGTCGAACACATAGGTCTACATGCCGCGGGTTAGACTACGATGATAGAAGAACAATCACTCAAAGGCGATCTAGGAAACACCTAAGACGATCATGATTCGTTTGGTTCAACCCTTTTCAATTGAGGACGAAGGTACAAGCGCCCCCTTGCTTTGCAACGGCGCTTGCACGGGCTATTGCAAGGCAGAGGCCATGGAAACCTTGCAAGAGGTTGTGATTGAAGTGGCAGATGAGTCTGCGGAGGCAGCGGGCAGAAAGTTAGATGAGATGATGAAGAAGGCAGAAGATCAATTGGGGGTGGCGCTGAAACACATCGACGCAACCATGAAACCCCACGTCCAGGCTTTGCGACAGATCATGGCCAACAACAAGTTCAAGAAGGTCTTCGGGAAATTGGCACCAGAGCAACAAAAGGCACTTCTGGGAACCATTACCGTTTTGGGGAAGACCGAGAAAGGCAAGACGTTTGCCAAGGGAGTTAAGCAGTTTGAGGATGAGTTGAAGAAGCTTGAAGGCTGGTGTGTGGGAGAATTCATCATGAGAGTTTTGTGATTGGTAACATGATGATCATGTATGATGAATTATATTTGGGGAGTGTGCCTGAGGTGAAGGAATGAGCCCCTTCGTAACAAAGCTGGTTGATTCTCAACTGCAAGCGGCCACTGGCTACTCATCAGGCTCAGCTGAAGCTTTCAGAGTTTCTGAAGGGTTTGCAGAATCGCAGAGGTGTTTGCCCAAACTTCAGGCGAGTTGTTCGCCTTCTTGAAAGTCTCTCCAGCGCAAATGGCTTCGGACATGCACGAGTTGGAGGCACGAGTTCCACAGATGAGTTCAACACGAGTAGGAACAAGAAGCTACTAGTAACAAAGGGCATCGCTACTAGGAGCAAGAAGCTACTAGTAGCTCATGGCCTTACTACTAGCAACAAGGATGCTAGAACGGAGCAAAGGGCATTTCTTTGTCGAGTTCCAGGACATTTCTGGGTACGTCGAGAAGCTCCAGGAGACGGTGAACGTCAACAACTGGGACGCGACTTGGAATGATTTGCTCCCGGATCGCCAACCACATAGTTTTTTACACAAATAGTAATGATATTCGTTAGCCAGTCTCTAATTGCATGCACGTTCTAGGTTGGCGAAGGTGAGTGAAATCAGAGTCAGCAAGTCGTCTCAGCAAAATGACTGGTCTAAGATCTGAGCTTGTTGAAATTCTTCCCTGGTGAGTCATCTCTCTTGTTCTTAGTTACTTAGTTGAAGTGGAGCTCTTTGGCCGTACCAGTGAAAACAAGGATTATCATTAGAGTGAGTAAGGACAATCAAATAGCAATGGGCTCCAACATAGTAGCGATGGCCTCCAACCTGATAGCAATGGGCAGTGGCCTTATAAGAGTGAATAAGGATAATCAGGGTGTTGCAAAAGACTTTTCCCAAGTCATCCCGATCAAACCTAACAAGTGATGAAGACCAACTAGTGCTCAGTGCTGACACAATAGGACACTTGCTGCAAGCAAGTCCAAGTTATTTGGTGATTTGCCGCTTGCAACTCGTTGGGGACAACCAAGAGCCACACTGTAGAAGGTTCTTTGACAAAGCAAGGGCGATGTTGGAAACAACATGCATGTTGCTGGATGACATATCAGGCAAAGCCAGACGATAGGACATTAATTTCACATAATTCACACATAACAAGACGAGTGTCCTGCTGTGCATTAGACAACAGTTTGTTGCAGTATGTTGACATACAGTTTGTTGTTCTAGTGGGTCTATCACCGGAGTGTGCACGAATTGAATGTAATGCTCTCCGATGCTCTTCCTAGTCATTTGCACCTCTATTTGTGTGTCTCCATTATCCACGAGCACTGTGGACTGCCCAAGGACATTGTCGAGAATTTTCTTTGCCTCTATGATCTTCAGTTTCGATTAAAGGGTGAGCGGAGCCGCAAAGTCTTCGCCACCATTTGGAAGGATGAAACGCTGCGGAAATGTGTTGCGGCACCTTGTTTGCATGCCTCCCACACATCGATGTGTCGCTGACGCATCATGCTTTATGATTGCCTGTTTCTGTTCACACTTGGAGTGTTCAAAACATGAATTTTAGCAGTAACATTAGACTCAGTCAGTTCATGTTGCCGCCAAGGTAGGGAGGCATTTCCAGCATGTGTCGCCGCCCAAGGAAAGAGCTGGTTTGTTTTAATAGAGCCCGTCAACCCTGTCGAAGCACTGCCCGACCAAGGACAAGCCTCAATGACCCGCCGGCATTTGTCCTGCACATGGTGAAATATGCCTCGACAATTGTGAAGAAGGGTGCCGTGGGTTGGAAGTTGGCCATGAAGAAGGTGCGATTTGATTTCGTAGAGAACGTGTCTTCATGCTAGTTCTGCTGCACTGACCATGAACCAAACATGGTGCAAAGTGACGTGTCAAGGAGATGACGGCGATAGATTTGATGAAGTCGCGGCAGCAAGCCTTCTTTCAATTCATGATCAGTTGCATCACAGGCGGGGCGAACACAAGCAGCAGCACATCAAACAGGCAGCGAGCGTGGACTGACCTTTGTTTGACGCAGGCTTCTTTGTGTTTGTGGCAACATTCTTCTCGGGCCTTCTGCTTGATGCAGCGAAGAGTGGCCGTGTGAGCATCCCTTACTTTTCCAATTTTCTCATCTCCTTCAACTCCACAGATGCCGTATGAGCGGCTGGCACGCGCAGCGCGCAGCCTGCTGAAAGGCCTGCATATTGAGTGCAACCCGTCAACCGGCGCAATTGATGTTCTATATGTAGAAAGTCAGCCGATTTTCAACCTGCTGACTTTCAAGTTTGTTTGGTTCAGATGTTCTAGACGTGTCCCCGCTGTCAAGTAGTGGGTGGGACATGCCGTTGGGCTCCTCGATTTTGGATAGCTAATAACGGTATCTTAGTTCATAATAAATCATGCACTTCTTCCAATTTGTTTAGAGGGTTGACAAGCTGTTCAGCAGTCCTTTAGTGGATGGATGAATCATGATGAAGCATAATGTAGCAGTACCCTGTCCCAGCTTGACAAACTCGACACTAGTTTTCTTGTTTGTTGATGGGTCATGTTTCTTCAACATCTCACCACTGGGTCATTTCAGGGGCTGTAGAAGTTCAGGCCTTTCCTTTTCTTTTGAGCCCGGAGCTTTGGTTGTGAGAGCCCTTGTACCCGGAAGCGACAACTAGGCGACGTGGTTCATCAATTCTGAACATTTCGACCTTTGGGTACTTGTAGCGTACTGTCCTGCACGTGCAGGGGGTGGGCACCTTTCACAAAGTGAAAGCCAACACTCAGTGTGAGCAGGTCAGTGGGTTTCCCAGATGCACGGCTCACAATAAATGGGTTGACATTCAAGCCAAACAAGGCTGTCTTTTATGGACAGACTTTTGAGTTTTGTGTGAAAAGGCAGCTCAAAGCGCCTTCACGCCAGATGTTTGCATGCAAAGCTTGTTAGGTTCCACGCGGAAGTTTCTGATCGTGTTTTAACCGCTGTCAAAACGGCGAACCCGGGAGCCTGAGTAGATTATCACAGAGCGTTTGCAGATTCCTTGGAGGCACCTGTTACTAGTAGCGATGCACTTGTTACTAGTAGCTTCTTG